GCTTCCAAGGTCAAGTTCCTTCCTCTTTTAGTAACCTAACCAAGTTAACCAAGTTTGATCTCTCACATAATGAGCTCACCGGTGGTTTCCAACTTGTCAAGAATCTCACCAAGCTTTCCATGTTAGACCTTTCCTACAATCACTTCTCTGGAACCATCCCTTCTTCTTTGCTCACTCTGCCTCTCTTGTCACATCTTGATCTCCGCGGAAACTATCTCACCGGCCCTATCGAAGTTCCAAACTCTTCTTCATCATCAAGGCTCGAGCACTTGTTCCTTGGACATAACCATTTCGATGGACAATTACTAGAGCCTATCTCAAAGTTAACAACCCTCAAAGAACTCGTCCTCTCTTTCATAAACGTAAGCTACCCTATTGACATAAAACTCTTTTCCTCTCTCAAATCTTTGCTGAACCTTGAGCTTTCCGGTAATATCTTATCAGCAACAAGTCTAACCTCAGGTTCTGATGTTCCACCTAATCTGTACCGGTTGATGATGAAGCGTTGCGGCATCACCGAGTTCCCAAAGTTTCTAAAGACCCTACAGAACCTAGAGCGGCTAGACCTTTCTGACAATCAGATCAAAGGGAAAGTTCCAGAGTGGTTATGGAGTCTTCCCCGGTTGAGCATAGTGAGTCTAAACAACAACTCCTTCAACGGTTCTGCAGAAACTCTACACAACTCATCAGTTACAATGCTAGATCTTAGTTCAAACGCCTTCACAGGATCACTTCCACCTCCACCACTCTCTATCAGACTCTTCTTGGCATCAAGAAATAGTTTCACAGGTGACATACCTCTTTCAACTTGCAACCGAAGCTATCTTGATGCTCTTGACCTATCCTACAACAACTTCAGCGGCTCAGTTCCTCAATGCCTTAGTAAGTTTAAAATACTCAATCTCCGGAAGAACAACTTGCGTGGAAGCATTCCCAACACGTTTTCTAGCAGTTCTCTGCTACAAACACTTGATGTTGGATACAATGAAATAAACGGACAGCTTCCAAGGTCTCTTGTGAATTGTTCTTCTCTAAGGTTTCTGAGTGTGGAGCACAATAATATAAGGGACTTGTTCCCTTTCTGGCTTAAGGTTTTGCCGGATTTGCAAGTTCTCACCCTCAGTTCAAACACATTTCACGGTCCTATATCTCCTCCTCAAGGACCTTTAGGGTTTCTCGAGCTGTGGATACTTGATCTATCAGATAACAAGTTTACAGGAAGTTTGTCTCCAGATTACTTTGTGAACTGGAGTGCATCATCAAACAAGATAGATGGAGATGGAGATGGAAAGATGTATATGGGAGACTATACAAATGATCTCTATAGCTATTTTTATGCTTTGGACTTGCAATACAAAGGTCTGAATATGGAGTATGAGATGGTAAATACTTTCTATGCAGCCATTGATCTCTCTGCAAACAATCTTAGTGGACAGATTCCAGAATCTATTGGTCTCTTGACGGCACTCATTGCGCTAAACCTATCCAACAACTCTTTCACTGGCCACATACCTATGTCTCTTGCCAATGTTACAGAGCTAGAGTCACTAGACCTGTCCCTAAACGAACTCTCAGGGGAAATTCCTCAAGAACTTGGTGCTCTCTCGTTTTTGGCGTACTCAAGTGTCTCTTGCAACCAACTCAAGGGTGAGATACCAAAAGGGACACAGATTAGTGGGCAGCCTAAATCATCTTTTGAAGGGAATGCAGGGCTTTGTGGTCTTCCTCTCCAGGAAACTTGCTTTGACATTAGTATGTCCCCAACACGACGGGGAAAGCAAGAAGATGATGAAGAGGAAGCAGAGGTATTGAACTGGAGAGGAGTAGCAATAGGGGGTATTGTCCTGGACTGTTGTTTGGATTGGCAATAGGACATGTTATTGCTTTATATAAGCCGGAGTGGCTACTGATGATAATTGGTCCGAATAAGGACAGAAACCGTTAGGGTTGTTTTGTTCTTGCGTTTGAACTTTTGGATTATCTGCCAAGTAGTTGGATGTGTGTAATCTAGCGTCATATATATGTGTATCCATGACATTCTCTTCAACAACTTTTCTTGTCTTTGTTTAGACTTCAGATATCTAGCTAACTTGACTAAATCAAGTTGGTTTTTAGATATATGTTGAGTTAAATCAAGTTAGTAACTTGTAAATTATATTGGATTTTAAGATATTCAGAAAGCATAATATAATTTATGCTAAATCTTGTCTTTGTTTAGATTTTAGAAATTCTTATAAAGGTTATAAAAATCAGAAAAAAATATAGAAGATGACTTATATAGAGATTAGAAGATGCACTAATTCCAACCACACTTAACCAAAAGTGGATGACGCAAATATTTTAGAAAATGGCAAGGATAGTGAAAACTAAAATCTAAAAGCTTGATAGAGTAAAAACTAGGTCTGGGTATTTTACATAGACCCAAAGACCCGATCCGAAACCAACCCAAAGACCCGATCTGAAACCGACCCAAAAATATGCGGTTCAGGTAAAAACAGAACCGATCATTTTACCTTATCGGGTCTTGATGTGGAGGATCTGCGGCTCTTGAACCCGAGATCCGATAGGGTACCCAAAATATCTAAAACTTTTACTATATATTATGTATATATATATATATATATATATAAGTGTGTTTTAGTATATTTTATGGTATTATGAGTATTATTTTATGTTTTGGATTTGGATTTTCGGATATAATTTTAGGTTTTTAGAAGTATAATTCGAATAATCAGATAAATTTTTTGATATTTTTATGTCATCTGGTCAGATTTTGAATAGAATTTTGGGTATTTAAATATTTTACGGTATTTTTGGGGTGTTTTAAGTATTTTTTTAGGCCAGACCCGACAGTACTCGAACCGAATCCGGCCCGAAACCGAACCGAATTCGAACCGATAAATTCTAATTATCCCATTGGGTCCAACTATATAAGATCCGAACCGACCCGGATCTGGTAGGACCCGAACCGACAAAGTCTAATTACCTTATTGGATCTAATATCTAAGACCCGAAGGATCCGAATCCGACATGACCCTACCCAAACCCGATCCGAGGACCCGAATATCCAGGCCTAGTAAAAACCATTAGGGCTTGGCGGTTTGTTAACTTTAAAATCAAGATATCATAATTTTATTACAAACAAGTTCTTGGAAAGACAATAAAAACACATGCAAACGCAAAAAGTCTCGGTCACGTAACAGGACACACAAGTTTATTGAAACTAGGAACACCTAAAATTTTCTAAAGATTTCTCACATGCGTATCTGCTAGAGCATTATCGTTACTCTAGTTTGGCTTCTATGTCTTCAGATCTGGACAAGACTTGCCTACAACTTCCCTAGACTATGCTGACAATGAGCAGTATAAAACCTCGAGATCCTCAGATTACTTGCACTGTAGACAATTTAAAATATGATATAGAATAATTACAAGATGCAAAATATATTTTTCAAGCATCCAATAACATGAAGCCAACCATTTATTCACTCCACAGAATCCAACCAAAGTTCTAAAAACTCAATCCTATTAGTTAAGAACACTTGATTAGCAAAACCAGTGATTCAACAAATTGACTACTAACTTGCAATGCAAACATTGCCAAGGACGAGTAACTCAACGTTCAAAAGTGCATTCATCAGAAGAGATCCAATAAGACGGTTTAACACAACTCCTTTCTATCAAATGAAAAAGAAAATCATCACCACATTGGTATCACCAGTTAAAGCCCGCTCTCAAAGCTGGTTCAAAGTTCAAAACGTGATGAAAGACTACAAAACAGAGAGAGAAGATGAATCTAAACAAGCCCATAAGTTGACAAGACAAGCGAAAACCACATATCCTTTGAGTTGTTCAGTAACTAGTAGACTTAGTAGAACTCATCCCAATAATAGTCGTTGGGACCTGGTAAATCATAGACGTTAGCTCCATACGGGTAACCAGCGGCTGAGTCATCCCAATAATAGTTGTTAAGGCCTAATAAATCCTCCATGTTAAATCCATATGGGTGATCAGCGGTTGAGTCATCCGGGCGTCTCAAATCTTTGATCCTCTCGCAGCTTCGCTTCTCCATATCCCCTTCAAGTCTTACGAAGAAACACTTGCGTAAATCAAGGTGTTCTAGGTGGGGACAACCATCAAGAATGGCGGTCAAGCCCGTGTTAGTTAATGTGTTCCCAACAAGCTGTAGATGAAGTAGTCCGGACATGCTTTCCGCAATCCCTAGAGCTTTTTTGTCATTCAACTCACCTTCATAAAAGTTAGGGTTAGGTTCAGAGTTTAGCCTCAGTTTCTTCAGATTTGGACAAGACTGTCCTGCAACTTTGAGAGCCTCTCCTGACATTGCGCCGTATGTAACCTCGAGGTATTCAAGCAACGGCAGTTTCCTAACTGCTTCGACAAATCCCTCGTCTTGTATTGGATAGCACATTATAAGTCTAAGGGCATCCACATCAATGAACCCCCTCTTGGGGTTCATTGAATCATTTTTTTATTACTAAAATTTTTTTGTTTTCTTTTTGATTTTTTTTTTAAAACAAAAAAAATAAAAAATAAAATCTAGACCAATCCCGAACCGCCACGTGTTGAACATCAGGAGAGAGGGGTTCACCGCGGTGAACTTTAGGAGAGAGGGGTTCATAGGTTTTTATTATTTTATTATTTTTTTTTCTTGATTTCCGTGTGAACTCTCCCCATAAACCTTCAATGGGGGTGCTCTAAGACTTTTCAGATTACGTGACCTACAAGTAATTAAAGCAGACACCAGATTAGGCTTTTTAGACCTGCAAGCAACTAAAGCAGGCACTTCCAATCACGCAAACTAATAAAGTCTTAAGGCTTTTCAGATTACTTGATCTGTAAGAAACTAAAACAGGCATTATATTACGAGTCTTAGGGCTTTACAGATTACTTGACACGCAAGTAATTAAAGCAGGCACTTCCAATCACGCAAACTAATAAAGTCTTTCATCTATAAACCCTAGAAATGAGAGGGAGAGAACCTGTCTGCTATGTAATTGGGTAGCTTATCAGTACCAAAGTACCACAAGTCGATCTCAAGCAAGCCTCCCTGGCTACGATCCACTGTTTGACGGCACATTATCTCCAGATCGTACCCCATGCTTCCCAAGTCTCCGTCGTTGTACATGTCAATCTTCCTCCACATTGAGGGGTCTTTACAGACGCGGCGCCATGACCTGCACACTTTCTGAGCTTTTTCGAGTATCTCAATCGAGTTAAGTCGGAGTAGGATCGATGAAATCAGTTCCGGCGGAAGCTCCGACCAGTTTCTTATTGGCTCTTCGCGTTTCATCAGCTGAGGCACGGAAGCAGATAGTGGCGGAGAGTAGGAAGAAGAAGATGCCATTTCTGAGGATCGAAACTCCATGTCGGCGAAAAGAAATGGATTAGGTTTTCGGACATTTTTGCTTCCGTCTATTATTTACGGTTTTGTCCTCGTAGTAACATGTAATAACAAAACAGTTCAGGCTTGAGTACAGTAGTTGTAGAAAAGTATATTATGGGCCTGCACCCATAATCACGAAGGCAATCATGTTTCACAAGTTGTGTTAATTTAATCATTTTGAACCGAAACTAAATACTATGAAACTTCTATAAATTAATAATGTTAGACATACATTAAATTATAATTTATTATTAATTTACAGAAATTATTAATTTATTAATATATTAATTTTTTTAATATATATTAATTTATAAAATATTAATTTAAAAAGATTAAATGGCTGGGTTTCTCTACTATAAAATATGGAAGATCAAATTACATAGAATATCTATAAATTAATAATCTTTATAAATTAATAATAATATATCATTAATATGGTTCCAAGAAAGGGCAAAGGCTAAGAGGAAGAGACCATTGTCCCTGAATGGTCAAACTGCTCACGTTCAACTTTCCAGACTTCTCGTATACAGTGACCAATGTCTTCATCGTAGTATTACATACGTACAACATTATTTAAAACATCATTATCCTAACAACTCATAATGGGTTGGTTAATTATATAATATAATTCTTCCGTTTCGTTTTAGTTGTCACTCTAAGTTTTTACGCATAGATTAAAGAAATATTTAATTTTACATAGTTCCACGACAAAATTAGAATTACTTATACACATAATTACTTTTCAACCAATAGAAAATTTTAAAATATCATATAAAGCTAATAAATTTTATCTCGGAACTCTAAAACAACACTTATTTTGAAACAATTTTTTCTCTAGAATGACAACTAATTCGAAACGAAAAGAGTAGTATTTAAGGAGTTTTTTTTTTGGTAAGCACTTAGCTAAGCAACTTGATATTTTTCCTCTTCCATTGCAAATTTCTTATTTTAGAGTTTTTGTGTATCAACATTTTCAAAACACAATTCTCAAATATTTTACAAAGGAAGGGATATTTACCTATAACCAAAGATAAAGGCGAAACGATCAGCTTCTATAGACATTACCTCCTCTGCTCGGCCTTCGCTTATCATTTTTGCAGCCAAGTCTATCAAAGATCGTGTTTCAAGGAGTGTTGCTTTGTACTCTCTATCACTTACCGGTGCCTACATAAATACATTATGATTAAAGCTACATTAAAGTCAAAACATATGATATAGCACATATGATATAGCACACTACACAAAATCCAACTCAAAGACTTTTTCACATGTGATAACATGGAGCTTTAAGAGAAGAGCGAGAAAATATAAGTCACAGAATCTAGAATTGCCACATGCAAAGAAAAGAGTAAAGAGGAGAAGGAAGAGAATATGTGAATCTATTGTCAGTTGGAAGAGAATAAACAGAGGAAAATTTTTATAGCTACAAGGGAAGCATTAACGCATTCAATACAACCTACCAACTTCACTATCATGCCTTTAAAACATAGCTCGAAGACATTCATTACCTATGTCTATCACTCAAAACGCAAACAACCTACAAAATCGACTTGACATACACCTATCAACCACATTCATTAGTTTACATATATCTAGCACAACCATAACCACACCAAAGAGAAAACCATAATTCAATATCCTCCAGTCCTCCTTTTATTTATGACATAACCATAATCACACAACAACCATAATCAAAGCGTAACACTAACATGTAATTCGATGTCCTACTTTGTCTGATGATCCTTCTGACGACACAAACATGAAAAATAAAATAGAATCAAGAAGCAGAAACCAACACCACAAACACACGAATAGATAAACAAACTTGCAAAAAACAAATTAAAATAAACTTGCAAAAAATTTGAAACAAACTTGCAAGCAAAATATTTGAAACAAACTTGCAAGCAAATACGGAATCTAGAGACATAATCAGACACAAATAACATATCAAATTTGCAAAAAAATTGAAGAACACAAATTGAAAGGTTTACCTTTCGATTCTAGGAGAGCCACCCACAGAATCGTTCGTGCCGGAGAAAACCAACGGAGAGACATATGCAAAACAGAACAACCAAATAAAATTGAAGACATGCTTGATTGAAGACATGCTTGATTGAACTACAGAACAAAGAAGAATCATAATTGAACAAAGACATTACCTTTCGCTTTTGAGGAGAGCCAAACAGAGAGAGGTCCATCGCCTAGTGATTCATCGTCGAGAAACCGAGTTATTCATCATCAAGAAGATCTCTGGCGACAGCCACCGAGAGACAGAGACGACAGCCACCAAGAGACAGAGTCGGATTTGACGAGAGGTGAACACGAGCGCCAGATTTACAGACTGATTTTTCAGACGAGAGGAGATGATCAGACGACGTTTTCCCCTGGAAATCGTCTGATTTGGGGAAACTGGGAGAGATATAGAGATGAAAGAGAGGCCGAGAGACCAATGTTTGACGCGTGTCCCATTAAGCGTCGTTTTTTCCTCCGTTTAATTAAGCAATGTTGTTTCAATTAAAAGGTAATTTTATTTTATTTTTAATCACAATTATCATAAGCAACCTTCACTAACAACTGGGATAAACATGGTCTTAAGGTACACTAACATTAGGGCTTGGCGGCATGTTAAATTTAAAATCAAAATATCATTATTTCATTACACACACAAGGTGGAAAATAGTCAAATATCAAGTCGAAGAAAGATTAAGAGCATCTCCAACCTATAACACTATTTTTGTGTTAAAACTCCATTATTCTAGTGTAATTTCAGCACTAAAAATAACTTCACCTCCGATCACAACACTAAATTTAACACTAAAACCTTTTTTATAATATTATATGTTTTTATGTTTTTATTTGTTATTTATTTACTTGTGTAATTTATTAATAAAATAAGTGAATAGTGTTTTAATGAGATGAATAGTGTTTTAGTGTGTTGAATAGTGTCACATCAAATTTGGTGTAAAATTATAGTGTTACACTAAAACAGTGTGAAGTTTAGTATTGGTTTGGAGAAGATTTTTGTGTTGAAATCACACTTAAATAGAGTTTTAGTGTTGGGTTGGAGATCGTATAATCAAGTCACACATACACTTTTCTTGATGTAGTTATTGTAGAGACAAAAGAACCTTGCAAGTGCAAAAAAACATTAGTACTAAGGTTTCACATAATACAAGGACACACAAGTTCAATGAAACTTGGAATACCTTAAGTTTTCTAAAGATTTTCACATGCGTACCCACTAGAGCATCATTGTACACACAACTGCTTCAGCAAATCTAGTCTATTAAACGATAGCATATTGCAAGTTTAAGGCTTTTCAGCTTACATGAACTGCAAATAGTTGTGTTTAGAAGTTAGAAGCATGATAATCGTTAGAGAAGAACAATAAGATGAAAAAAATATCTTTTCCAAGCATATTCCAATAAACTGAAACCAAACATTTGCCAAGTCCTATTTGATTAGCAAAACTCACGATGCAACAAATTGGCTGGTAACTTGCAATGCAAACATTCCCAAGTAGGAGTAACTCAACTTCCAAACGTGGATTCATTAGAACCAGAAACTCAATCGACAATTAAGTATCCAATGAAAAAGCCACGCGCTCAAAGCTCCCACAAAGTTCAAAGGAAACTACATAAGAGGAAACATGAAAGAGTCCATAAGGTTGACAAGACAAGCAAAAAAAAAACCATATGTGCCTCTGCGTTGTTCAGTATCTAGTAGACTTAGTAGTGCTCATCCAAATAAGAGTCCCTGGGACCTGACATATCATCGTCAATATATCCATATGGCTGACCAGCGGTTGAGTCATTGGGGCATTTCAACTCTTTGATCCTCTCGGAACATCTCTTCTCCAGATCCCCTTCAAGTCTTACGTTGAAACACTTGCGTAAATCAAGCTGTTCCAGGTGAGGACAGCCATCAAGTATGGCGGTCAAGCCCATGTTGGTTAATGTGCTCCCGACAAGCTGGAGATGGCGTAGTTCGGGCATACTTTCCGCATTCCCTAGAGCTCTTTTGTCATCAGACTCACCATCATAAAGGTTGGGGTAAGGTTCGTAGTTTAGCCTCAATTTCTTCAGGTTCGGGCAAGACAGTCCTGCAGCTTTCAGAGACTATCCTGTTAACACCCAGCCGTATGTAATTTTCAGGTATTCAAGCAGTGGCAGCTTCGCAACTGCTTCTACAAACGTCACGTCTGTTATTGCGTAGCACGTTATGAGTCTAAGGCATATCAGATTACTTGATCTGCGAAGTAATTAATGGGTGCAAAGGTTTAAAACATAATATAAGAGAGATAGATAGAGATACACACACAGAGACATAGACAAAGAGAGAGACACAAACACAGGGACAGAACCTGTCGGCAATGTAATTGACTAACTCATCAGTACCAAATGTCCATGTAACTAAAGCAGGCACTACATTTGAGCCTAAGCATTTCAGATTACTTGATCTGCAAGAAATTAAAGTAGGCACTACATTATGAGTCTAAGGTTTCTCAGATTACCAGCAAATAATTAAAACAGGCATTATATTACGTGTCTTAGGGCTTTTCAGATTACTTGACACGCAAGTAACTAAAGCAAATGTCCATGTCGGCGAAACCAAGAAGTGAACTTAGGTTTTTGGAGCTTTCTACTTCCGTGTCTTATTTACTGTTTGGTCTATAGTAAGTTAGTAACACATGTAATGATAAGACAGTTTAGTCTAAGTACAAAGGCCACTGTTTTAAGAATAATATAGAGGGCCTGGGCTCATAATCACAAAAATGTTGCTAATGTTCCTAGAAAGTAGAAATAACAAAATGTTTCAGATCATGACTGGTATGCCAAGTGACTGCAAGACCAGAGCTTGATGGTGTGCGTTTTGCCATTCCTTCAGCCACAGGGAACTTTTCTGTTGATGCTTTTGCTTAGTTCTCGCAGATACAACACAATGGAAGCTTCAGCATTACAGG